AAAGTAGCATAGATAAATAAAAATAACAGTAAAAGCAAACATAAAATCATCAAATCACTAACGGGAAAGAGGAAAATTGCATTTATTTGATAATATTGTGTTTAAGAAAAGCTTCCAGCTGTGCAAATTATTGCATGAACCTCAGAATCAAGCATTCTTTATTACATAATTTTAGATTTTCTGCAGCAGTGAAATTAATGATTGGAACAGTTTTAAATATTTGATTGATATTCTGCTATGCCATATAGAACAGAGTTTGTACTTTCATAGCTGCTAAAAAAAAATTACCTACAAAATGTATAACATGGGTTTATATGATCTAAGAGAATTAAGATACAGGCCCTTGTAAATAAATGGGATGGGGGGACATGCAATATTGGTGCAACAGTCTGACAGGATGAATGGTATAGACACCTTGCCTATCAGTGCCTTTCAAAGGAGCTGTGATTAAAATGGCTTATAAATCTCTATAGAAATTACAAGAAAGTAAGATATTACCGATATGCTCTTTTGCATGAGAACTTCAAGAGCAAAAACAATAGTTCACAAAAAGGGACCTTAGAATGTTGTTCATTAATAACATTTAATATGTTAAACCTAGTTAGAAGAAATGCTTTGAGATGGCTGACATTTGTCAAAGATTAGCAATTATCAGCTGAACTTGATATCTCTACAAGGTAAGGGGAAATACAGGTCACTTGCTGTGACTCCATGCCCAGAACTCTCTCTTTCACAACCATTCTGGCTGATTCATGTCGCAGGGGTTGCAGTACACCCCAGACAAGATCATAAAAGGCCCATTTTTCTCAAATGCTTGTCTTCCATGAAGAACAATGCCTATCTTTGGTTATCAAGGAAACTAAACCAGTTGGATTTCACATGAAAAATTCAGAAGAATAGAGCACAATACTGAGGAGACATAACTAACTTTTAATTCAATGATTGTTGGGTGCCTGCTTTACAAGAATGAGGAACCCTGAACAATGGGAAAACAAATATATTTATAGAAGTTGAGGGCTACAGGGCAGGAAATCCTAGGGAATGATTCACTGGCAACTTTGGGGGAAGCTAGGCAGGTCCTTGTTGGTATACATGGAGTTATTTCTATTATTTCAGGAGCAGCAGCAGTGCTGGGGGAGTCCCTTGTTAAGAAGATGGAATGTTGGAGGGTCCCTGATTAAGGATGTAAAGTTGCAATTTCTCACCTTGTTACTCTGTTGCAATTCCCTTATTAGGGCTGCCCTTATTTGATTTATTTAAAAGATTTGTATGGCCGCTCATCTTAGTACACAACTCTGGGCATCTCACAACAACAAGAAAACCACAAAAATGATAAAAACCAAGCCATAAAAACACCCTCCTGGGATGCCCCAACAACTGCCCACAGGCTTCCATCACACTTTACCCCAGCATCTGGGGGAAAAGCAAGCTCTTTATCACTTTCCAGGAGGCTAAAAGGGTAGGGGCATGCCAGGTCGCCATGGGCTGTACTGTGAGTTGGTGAGGATCCTTCTATTGTTGGGTTTAGATGGGATTGCAAGGGGCTTTGACTGGAGGCAGGGAGGGTCAATCTGGGTCTGATAGGATTATGCAAAGAAATCAATTGGGTTTGACCCTGGTCACATTCAAAAAACAAGGAAGGAGAGATGCAGCCTCCTTTCTGTTTCTTACATTTATTTTCCTCCACCACAGCTTAAACATGAGTTTCAGTCAATAACTAAAAATATTGATTCAAATCTGGACCTCCACCCTCATACACAAGGCTTTTCATGCTCTTCTCAGCCTGATAATTGAACATAATAAAATGGTCATATTGTAAACATATAAAAGTACCAAAATATGCTCCTTAGCTAGCTCAGGAAGAACCAACTCTTTTATTAAGATGATGCTGTTTATACTATGTATCATATTTTGTATGCTTGTTTTAAATTCTGAGCTGCTTTACAGTTAGGAAGTCTCTAAATCAAATCAATCAATCAATCAATACCTCCTGCCCCACATATTAAGATGATACTATGTATCATATTTTATACATTTGTTCTAAATTCTGAGCCCCCCTGAGTTGTTTCAGAGTTGGGAAGTCCCTAGATCAAATCAATCAATCAATCAATCGATCGATCAATACTTCCTTCCCCTCACTTGTTCTGGAGGACACTTATTCACTTCAGGAATTGCAAGCCATGTAGCATCTCCTCAAGGAACAACCAGATCTTGTCAAGGTTTCCACAAGTGCTGTGCCCTCCTACAAGCAATCTGTCATCACTAGAAAGGGACCCTCACTGCTGCTAGAGATGGCATATGACTTTCAATAAAGCTTCTCCTTTCTACACAACCATCTGAAAAGTTGGCTGCCATGTTTATTGGGCCATTTCCTATAATTGCACACTCAAGTCCTGTCACCTTTCACCCACAGGTTCCAGGTATAATAAAAATATATCTAGTCTTCTACCATTCCTTCTAGTACTGGATCATCTCCTTGCCCAACTCTGATCTGCCCCTGCCCCCCCCCCCATTTTAAAATATATGATTTATTGGAAGGGTAACCCAGAATCAGAAATCTTGAGAAACAGCAGATGACATCCATGTTCTTTGCTTCTTCCAGCTTTTCCATTTTAAGTGTCCCACCTCCCAAATTAAAACCGACATCCTGGTCCCACATTCTGAGTGTGGCAGCAGCACTTTAGGGGAAGAATTGTTTGACCACCAAAAGAGAGATACTGTAGAAACTGCCTCTCCCAAGGCAGAAGGAAAGAGTTTGGATTGGAAAAACCTGTTGTTATGGACATGATAAAGACATGAAAGTCCCTCCATGGGCCTGCCTACCATCAGAGATCAGAAGGAAGATGAGACTGACATTCCTATAAAAGGAGTCTTTCTTCCTTTTGCAGTCAGGTGGACATTCCTACTCCTGATATCCCAGGTAAAAATTGACAGCAAATCATACTTTCTGGATTATTTAGCACTTTTATTCATAATTATACCTATGCTTTCACTTC